ACAAAATTTTAGTTTATTTTTATTTTTTAAAATATATTTTACTGATTTTTAGAGATAGAGGAAGGGATGGAATGCCTCCTGTACGTCCCCGTCCCCTACTGGGTATCAAGCCTGCAACCCGGGCATGTGCCCCGACTGGGAATCGAACCGGTGACCTTTCAGTGTCTGGATGACAACCAACCAGCTGAGCCACACTCACCAGGGCAAGGCCGGGATTATTTTGTATCTGCCTGGTAGTGTTGAGTGGTGCTGTGAGGATTCAATTAACTTTATGGGAAATGCTTAGAAGAGTGCCCGGTACATATTGAATATTCGATGAGCATGAGTATTACTTCCCATCTCCTGCTCCAATTCAGTGTCTGGATGACAACCAACCAGCTGAGCCACACTCACCAGGGCAAGGCCGGGATTATTTTGTATCTGCCTGGTAGTGTTGAGTGGTGCTGTGAGGATTCAATTAACTTTATGGGAAATGCTTAGAAGAGTGCCCGGTACATATTGAATATTCGATGAGCATGAGTATTACTTCCCATCTCCTGCTCCAAGCCTCCGTCAGAGCTAGAGCCTGCGTGTAGGCTTTGAGCAGACCTCCGCATGCTGCCCGCCCTTTGTTTGTTTCTCAGGGAATCCTGAAGAATTTCTTCCCAGCCACTTACAGACAACCGCGCTGTGACTGCTCCCCAGCCCTGTGCCAGGAGCACAGACTGTGATCAGAAAGACCCGGGTTTCAATCCCTCGTGAGCTTTCCTATGCGGCCTTAGAGAAGTCACTCAACCTCTCTGAGTGTCACTGTCCTCGTCTGTAGAATGAGATGATCATGATCATAGAACAGGTTCCTCATCACTTACCTCCTTTCCTGAAACCCCCTAAGCTTACCCTGGCTGGTGTGGCTCAGTGGATAGAGTGTCAGCCTGTGGACCAAAGAGTCCCGGGTTCAATTCCGGTCGAGGGCATGTCCCTGGGTTGCAGACCCGCAGCGCCCTTGACAAATGGATAATTATAGCTTCCGCTTTATATTTGTTGAAAAGAAAAAAAACATCAGTAAAGAATGAGGGAAGAAAACAAAGATGGCCCAAATCTCTCTACTCAGCTTCACTGGGTTGCCACTTTTTATTTAAAAAATAAAAAGTAATATTAAAAGTGGCACACACACACACACACACACACACACACACACAGACGCGCCGCACTAAGAAAATGCTGAAGTTACAGAAAAGTGTAAAATGAAAAACAAGCCCTCCACCCCAAGCCTCCAGCCTCTCACCCCCACAGTTAAATAGCTGTACTTTTCCAGAAAAAAAAAGTTTAATATATGTGGAATTTTAGGACTCACCCCATAGGGGGTTTTCCCATTATCCTAAGTTATTTTCACCACAGCACTTGCCACTTCCTGGTATTTTCTTATTTATTTACTAGAGGCCCCCCACCTGGGGGCCGCCATAGGGTCCCAGCTGGCAGCGGGGCTTAGGCAGCACCTGGGGGCCCGGATGGCACCTGACACTGTCCCGCTCTGCCTGCAGTATGCAAATTAGCCGCCATCTTTGTTGGTGGTTAATTTGCATATCGCCCTGATTAGCAAATGGGATGCATAGTGCAGGTACGGTCGATTACCCTTTTTGTCTTTTATTAGGATGTCACACCAATAAATTAAATTAATTAATGCGAGCCATGGTTGTTAGAAGGGCAGTGTTGCCTAGTGGTTATGCATGCAGGCTCGAGTCTGGTTCAAACCCTGGCTCTGTTTGCACATTGTGTGACTCTGTCTCAGCCTCCAAATCTGGAAACCGGTGTTATTTTTTAAAGATATGTTTTTATTTATTTGGAGAGAGAGAGAGGAAAACATTGATGTGAAAGAGAAAAGATGATCAGCTGCCCTCTGCATACCCCCTCCTAGGAATCCAGCTTGCAACCCGGGCATGTGCCCCGACTGGGAATCGAACCGGTGACCTTTCAGTGTCTGGATGACAACCAACCAGCTGACGTCTTCTACACCGGGGATGCACTCGCAAGAAGTTCAAATATCAGTGAGGGGATGCAGGGAAAGCTCTATCCCAGCCACTGCCCCAAAGAAAGGGATATTGAGGGATGTTGAGGTTTGCGGTAGAGAGGCAGTTTGGGGAGTGGACGGGAATCCGTCTCCTGGGTTTTAGGTTCTGTCAAGGCAAGTGAACTCTAAATATTCCTCGGTGTCCTGACACCTGCCGGGAAGGCAAGGACCTACTAGGAGTTTCTGACCCTCTGAAGGCGGGTCCCTTCCTGCACCCCGGCTGCCAAGGTGGGGGGGGGTGGAGAACGAGACCTTCACCTATTGGCTCTGCTAGGGGGGCAAAGTGGGGCAGCCTCCGAAATAAGAAAGGGGTTGGACACTGGAATCCACAGGCGTGATTGCCCACCGCACTAGGGGTCTCCAGTGTCACAATGTGTATTTAATTTCACTTATTTTTTAAAAAATCTTTATTGTTGAGCAATTTGATGGGTAAGAATCTGAGCATTCTTTCGGAAATTACATTTTTGGAAAGAAAATCAATTCAGACTTTTGCTGATCCCCGAACTAATGAAAGTCTGCAAATTCACAGGTCAGGCACCCCCGAGCAAGAGCCTGTCTACCCACAGACATTTAGATTTAACCTGATGGCCTGCCTTCCTTCCTGCCTTCCTTCCCTCTGTTCGTTATCATCACAGGGGACTTAGCAACTCAATCTGACTGTCGTTAATGGGTAACTCTTGAAGGTGACCTCTTAATTATTTACCGCCTTTTGGGCCATTCCCTGCAAGCCCTGCCTCTTGCTCTTTAGAGAGTGGAGCGTGCCCCTCCCCCCACGTCAGAGCCTCTCGGATTTAATTTGGGGAGACCCCTACCCTGACCTCTGACGCCAATCAGAGCAGAAGGGTCCCGGGCTGACCAT